ATACATACTATTCCTTTTAATTATCAAATGTATCTATAATGTCTTCTACATTATCCTTCTGTGATTAAGCTTTTAAGAACAGAAAGCAAGGTCATAAAGTGGAAACAGGTGTCATTTGGCTCACAGTCTGACTTTGGTTCTGGTATTTAAAATTTGGGGGATTTCACGTAGGACAGGGAATTGTGGGTTCTCTGGGAAACTGGGAAGACTTGCCACTCTGGGTTCAGTGCCACGTGTCAATGACAGGTGGGAGGGTGGGGTGCACACGCTGTTTTGATCCTCCCCTGACAGACCCTCTATCCTCTATCTTAGACGGTATTCACACATGTACGTGTCTGCTCCTTACAAGACCATCTGCAATCCCTGATCTGAAGGTTCACAAGCTTTTGATGTACTAATAAAGAATGAATAAAGAATGAATATAAAATAATGAATATAAAATATAGACTATAAAATAAGGAATGAATACGAGGTTTATAAATACCCTTTCTACACGTTTCCCTTACTTTTTAGGACTGCTCAGTTATTCATCCAGATCAATGGTCTTTGTCTCCTTACCTCCAAAACCACATAAGAGAACACCAATTACACTCACATGAAAAAAGAATTTTAAAGGATCATTTGAAAATGCTTTTAAATTTGATGTATTTGTTCTGATCATTCTAAATACACACATTGGTAGATCCAGACAAAAGACAAAATATAAAATAAAACTTTAAAAAATTCAGAAACAGAATATGTTGAGGAAAAAAATCTCTATTAGGAATTAACTTATGCTCTGATGTTGGTGAGTTGACTTTTAGCTCTAAAATGGATAAAATGAAAATTCAAAATCCACACTTCAAAAATTTTAAATGTACCTAATGTACGTGTGGTTGGAACACAGATAGTATAGTTCTGTCATTTGAAAGGTTTTCCTTAAAATATGCTGAAATCAGGTCTCGCCTGCAGCTGAGAGCCTTTCTGAGATGGGTCTTTAAGAAAACAACAGCAGGCACACTGTAAAAGGAGAACTCCTGTGCCTTGCTTTCCCAGGGTCCGCCTCCAGTCAATCCCATTGGGGAGTACGCGGGAAGTGCTGCTGAGGTGCAATCGTTGTCAGGACTGCTTCAAACACAACTACAGGTTCCCACGAGCCCCACTCTCCTGCTTTTGGGTGTGGTGGCAGGTGCACCCCAGTCCCTGAGGCAATGACACCAGATTCTCTCTAGCAGCTTGTGTTTCTGGGACCTAAGCTCAGGGGACAGACAGGCCTTGGAGGGTAACATTCACTCTGGAAGGGCCTGGAGACCAGGGGGTCAGAGATGGGGTGCAGGCAACAGAGGCTGGCCTGGGTATGACCAGGACCATTCTGAATCTGGTCGTAGCCATACCTGACAGGGCAGCGGTCTCCTACCTGGGTGGTGTTAATGGGTGATTTTTCATCTGGCAGCACTGGGGCTGCCTATGCTGCCCCCCATGGCTGACGTGGGCTCTGTTGCCTTTCCCAAGCTATCTGTTGCCTCTGGAAGAGATTATTGAGAGACATGGCTTGGGTTATCATTACCATCCCCATGACACTGGACCAGATACTTCCTCAGCCTCCCCACTCCAGAGCAAGTAATTTTGCAAGGTCTGAAGAATGCGGCCCTAAACCACAATGTGACTAGGACCCAAACGAAAGGGGCAGGATCCAGGTGACAGCGTAAAGAATGGCGGAACCCAGTCTCTGCCAGCAGGCCCCACTGCTGAGCGGCTGCATCAGGCTAGGTCTGCCACCACGAGCACCTCCCCAGGCTCGGGCATGCCCTACCATGGGGCAAAGGCACGGCCTGGGAGCCAGGCAGCCCTCATTCCTAGCCAGACACCACCACTCACCACCCTGGGGATCCTATACCAGTTACTGCACCCCGAGCTTCGTTTCCTTATCAGCAAAATGGGTATCATTAATACCTAGCTCACAGGATTACTGTGAGGACTGGACGAGATATCAAGTGCTTGGGACTTATTCAATACAGAGAATCAGTAACCAGCACTTCATATTGTTATCCACCACTAACAGAGTTTGATGGGGTTCCAATCAGGCTTCCAACTTCCTGATATTCTCCAGATGAAGGAATGCGGCTATTAACATTTATGCCAAAAGTTTATTAAAATAGAACTTCTCCTGATGAGAAATCAAGTATTACACCAAAACCCAGTAGCTGTCTTATTTAGGTTTAACAAGGATGCAAAGGTAGAGGTAGCCAGCTACACTAGATGGGTAGTATTTTGACAAAACTGCTAGAAAAGGGAAATATTACAGTAGATCTGGCCCACCTGTCACATTCCACCCCCGGGGACATCCACCATACAGCTCTGAGCTCTCAATGCTTTCATTACCAACTCGACTTAACTCACACAGAACTCTGCTGGATTTCTTGAGCAGCTCTCAGCCTCACACCTGAAAACTGCATTCAGTGCTAATTAAACACACTGTCAGATTCAATTTTCCACATGGGATTAATCCTTAATTCTGAACACGTGCAGCACTAACTCTAAGTCTAAAAAAGCTTTATGAGATTTAAAAGACCACCTAAAGTAAAATAAATGAAAATCATCATTATTTACAAGTAATTACAAACTTTTCTTATAACTTCATGAGTAAGTGTACATCCGATTCTTACTGAACAACAATTTAAGAACAGTTCCAATTCCAACCCTATTTATGGATGACAATGTAAGGAATATTACTATCCAGGGCTATGGTTACCAATTTTAAAAGCCAAAAATACCTATGCAAAATTCCTCTAAGAAATAAACTGTCGTCTTTGCTTTGGCAATCCATGAAATGGGCTTTGTAAATACTGTTGTCCAGTATTTGTCCATAAAGTTGGTACTCACAAAATCTGTTACCTGATCAGTTTTTCCATGGCACATTATGTAAGAAATATATACTTTAAAAGCAGCTGAAGGTTTCAAGCAAAAGTTGTTTCCCCCAAAAGAGAATGTCTAGTTAACTTAAAGCTATTCAGACAACGCAGATTATCTTGTTTCAAGGTTTTCTGAGACTAAAATTGATTTTGCTATGATTCCTATCGGCATGTGGGATCTTCCCGGACCGGAGCACGAACCCGTGTCCCCTGCATCGGCAGGCGGACTCTCAACCACTGTGCCACCAGGGAAGCCCGATTCCTATGTTTTTGATTTAGTTAAATCTACTCCTTTCTCAAGGAATAACACACACCCTTGGGGACAATTCTAAAGACACTGACTAATTTGACATTCAGTTCGTGGTAGTTTAACATCCTTAGTCACATGTGTGTTTACTGTATCACCTAAGTCATCAGAATCCAGACAAGAGCTGTGCCAAAGTGTTTAAATACCTTAATTCAGGTAAATGACAAAAACATCTGCTGAAGGCCCGCAATTACCTGTTTTACCAGTTAAGTGCTCAAACTTCTCCTCTGGAAGGTAATCTTAATAGAAAACCTAACATTCAAGTGATTCTCCGCATCTCACTAAATAATGCACCGGAGAAAGAGAGAAAGAAAGAGAAAGGAGAGAGAAAGGAAAGAAAGCAGTGGCAGCAAGCAGGCAGAGGGGCAGAACATTTCCAAAAGGGTGTGGTCTCTGACAGCCTAGCCTAGTCCTGCTGCTGTAACTAAGCACTGGCAATAAGAATGCTGTACCACCAAGGATGATGGTAACAGGGAAGGATAACATAAAAATGTAACACTCTGCAGCCATTCTTTCCCTGACCAGCCAACACTACACCTTTCAGACCACTCTGGATACAGAAAGCAGGAAGAGCTCTCAACTTCCACAACCCCTGGTTCCAAGGCCTGACCGAATTCCTCCTGATCCCACAGGAAAGAACACAGCAGCACCACAACAACGGGGTTGAGGGAGGGGTGGACACTAACTTTCCACTAGCCTTACCTATTTTCAACGTGCTGAATGAGAACATGAAACAACCCTAACAGGCCTGTGGTGCAGCAGGCACCTGTCGCTCAGTTATCTAAGGGGCGGTTTGAATCCAGTCTGTGAGAAACTGGCCCAGGAGGAGGTTCTGCCAGGCTACCAGTTGGCAAGTGACACCAGGGCGACAAAGGAAAGTGGGTAGGGGAGCACTTTCCCCCAGGGATGCCCGCTCTGCCTGCATCCCCGCCTGGGATCTGGTCTGGAGTGCCAGGTTGAAGGACTGAGACCGCAGACAGGCTCCAAGAAGCAGCCCTGGAGAATGATGTGCATGTGTACATTTGGGGTACAGACACACCCATGTGTCTCTACCCACAGAGCCCTCCTTCCCCAGGCTGCTTCCCATCCCTGCCCACCCCCATCCCTGGCTCTTCCCTAGGCCCCTGTCTACCAGGAGATCTTAAAATATCCAGTCGCCTCCTCCACTGAGTTTCCAGGTCCCTCTACCCTTCCTTACTGTTCTCCCTCCCCAGGAAGCCCCAGGTGCCCACTCTCCTATTGGGTCTCAGGACTTCGCTCAGGTCAAGACCGCTACGCCATCAAGTCTCTGCCCGCCCCTCCAGTCAGGCCTCTATCCCCCTCCCCCCTGCCTCTGCCTCTCCCCCCGTCACCCCCTCAGGTCTCCGTGTTCTCTAACACCCCCTCCCCCCATCAGGGTTCTTACCTCCAAACCCCACATCCCCCTGCCTGGCCAGGAACCCCTCCAGGGCTGTCTTCCCTCCCACCTCCACTCCGCTCTCCCTCGCCGAGGTCTCTGCTCCACCCTCTGCCCCGCCAGGTGCACTCCCAGATCTCTGTCTTCTCCCCACCCCCACCCCAAGTCAGGAGGCTTGACCTCCCCGCCCTCCGTCCTTGGCCCTTTCCCCTCCCCCAGTCCGGCCAGGTACCCTCCCAGGCAACCCCACCTCTCGTCAGATCTCGGCGCCCCCTCAGGTCCATCCCCGCGACAAGCCCAGAACCCTCTCCCACGTCAGGAGCCCCTCTGCTCTCCCCGACAGTTACAACTCGGGGCCGCGGCCTCCCCGGGGCCGGGGCAGCGCGGGCGGCGCGGGGGCCATTACCTGTACTGCGAGCCGGCGCCCTGCGCGAAGCCGTAATAATTACTCGCCGCCATCTTGGCTTCTCTACAGCGCGCCCGCTGACCCGGAGGCGCGAAGGGGCGGGGCCGCCGGCGCGTGACGTCATCCGGCCCGCGCCCAGGCCTCGTGCCGCTTGCGCCCCGCCACGCGCCCCAGGCCCCGCCCCCCGCGCGAAGCTTGCGCCTTCTCGCTTCCTAGTCTGCGCCTGGGGGCGTGTCAATGCCTCGAGCCCGCCCCGCCGCAAGCCCCGCCCCTTGCTTGGAGCTCCCACCTTCCCTGTGAGCGCCCAGTATCCGGGGTCTTTGGCTCCACCCCCTCCTTCCCGCCAAGCCCCAGATCCGGCCCTCTCTGTTTCCGTTCAAGCCCCGCCCCTCGCCGAAAGCCCCGCCCCTTATCGGATTCCCCTCCTTCTCTTTAACCTCTCAGCTTGGGGATTTCTAGGCTGGAAGTGATTTTCCTTTTTGTGCCCTCGGGTGGATTTGGTTGCCCCGCTGACCGTTTCTGGCTGGGTGAATGTGGCCCTACTGATACGGCCAAGTCCTGCTTGTCCCTTCAGCAGCCCCCTGGGTGCCAGTCTTTTCGTGGAGCCTTCTAAGGCTCCAGTACCTAAAATTCAGTGGCTCTAAATTAGTGCTTCTCAACTGGAGTGTTTTGCCCCCAGAGGAGAGTGGGCAGTGTCTGGGGACATCTGTGGTTGTCACGACTGGGGGTGCTCCTGGCATTAAGTGGATGGGGACCAGGGATGCTGCTCAATGCCCCACAGTTCCCAGGAGGGCCCCCACGACAGAGAATGACCTGGCACCAACGTCAGCAGTGCCAAGGTGGAGAAACCCTATTCTAAGGGTAATTCATTTTGAGGGCTATTTCTTGACCCACTTACTATAGGCAGGGCCATCTTGGGGGGGGGGGGTGCAACAGTAAGCTGCATGGCACCAGTCCTCAAGAACTTAGATTCAGGGAAGCAGATCATAACCAAACTATTACAATTAAGGTAGTCTTTGGTTAACAACAGATTTATTGAGATATAATTCATGTACCATACAATTCGCCCAACTAAGGAGTGCAATTCAGTGGTTTTTAGTATATTCACAAAGTTGTGCAACCATCACAACTAATTCCAGAACATTTTCATCACCCAAGAATAAACCATGAACTCTTAACAGTCACTTCCCCACCCCCACCCCAGCCCCTGGCCACCATTAGTTTGCTTTCTGTCTCTATGGATTTGCCAGTTCTGGACATTTCCTATAAATGGAATATTAGTCAGCAATAAAAAGGCATAAACTCTTGATACACACCACAACTTGGATAAAGCTCTAGAGAATTATGCTGAGTGGGAAAAGTTCCATTTACATAAAATTCTTGAAAGGTCAAAAATCATAGAAATGGAGAACATATTTGTGATTTCTAGGGGTTAAGGACATGGGGAGGGGGTAATGGGGACTGGGGGTAGCTATAAAAGGGCAACATGAGAGATCCTGTGGTGATTGAAATGTTCCATATCTTGACTATGTCAAAAGCAATAGTGCTACTGCATTATACTATAATTTTGCAAGATGTTACCATTGGGTAACATGGTGGAAAAGGGTACATGGGATCTCTCTGTGTGATTTTTTACAACCCCATGTGAATCTACAATTATTTCAAGTTTTTATATTAATTTTTTAAAGGCAAAAAAAAAGAGTACATTTACCAACCGTGGTGGGGTGGTGTTCTTTTGCCACCCTTTTAAGCAGGCACAGGGCTAGTTAATTCTTGGATGGAAACCATGGCAAGCCCAGGGTGCCAAGGAAAGCCGTATGGGTGATTTAGTGGATGGCATTCTTCCATTTGTGTCTTAATGACCATGTGTGGCCACAAGAAACAATCTAGTGCGTCTGGCAAACGCAGCTCTCCTGCCATGCCCTGGCTAAAGGCCAGCGTGGTAATTACACATGGCCTCCCTCCAATTCCCTGCAGCTCTAACTAGATAACCCAGGCTGCATGCCTTTTACAGAAGCAGGTCTGTTTTGATGTTTTCTCTGGTTGCATAATATCTTTTCTTTCCTGTTATTTGCTATAAGCATTGTGCTAAATGCTTTACATGCATAATCTTATCTAGTCCTCACAATAGCCCTCAGAAGTAGGTATAGTTGATTCTCATTATTGGCAGCAGTTCTGTTCTATAAAGTTGCTGCAAACACTGAAATAGCAAAATACTGACCCATTGCTCCTAGGGGAAATACAGGGTTAGGTTCCTGCAAGCCTCTGGTCACAACATTTTCATCAACTGATCAATACATAACCTTGTGTTACGTGGTTTTTTTTTGTTGTTTGTTTAAAGGCTTCTTATTTAATATACATTGTAGATTCCTTAACATTGAACTCACATTCCAGAGCACTATAACTCACACCTCAGTGAAGCTTATCTAACATGCTTATTTTCTCCATAAGGGCACAGCACAGCCTTCTTGTGCTAACAAACACTAGACAGCACTTCAGCACCATGTGTGGGGGCCATTATAAATAGCCAAATCACCAAAAAAAAAAAAAGCACAAAAATGTTAAAAGCACGGCACTAAATAGACCCAAAAAAGGACAGCTGTTTACAGCCTAGGCTGGAATAAACATCATCTGGTTCAACCTCAGCTGACAGCACATGCACTCAGATTTTTTCACTTCTCTGTGTTGTCTACAAATGACCCTGGAAGCACCATGAGTATTAATTTTGGGGGTTACAAATAAATTTCAGCCAGTAGGCAAATTTACAAATACTGTGAATAATGAGGATCAAATGTATTTGTATGAATCCCCTTTGCAAGTCAGGAAAAGGAGGTTTAGTAATTTCATTGCCTCAACAAACTCCACTGAGAACTAACTTCGTTTCAGGTATTCTTCTAGGGCAGGGTTTCTCAATGACCGCACCATTGATATTTCAGACTAGATAATTCTCTTGGGGAAGGGGCTGTCCTGTGCACTGTAGAGTGTTGAGCAGCATCTCTGGTCTTTACCCACTCGATGCCAGAATCACCTCCATCCCCCAAGTCATGATAACCAAAAATGTCCCCAGACATCACCAGATGTCCCATGGTGGGGTAAAATCACCCACAGGTGAGAACCACTGGTCTAGGGATTAAAGATATAGCAATGACAAAATGAAACATCTCTGATCTCAAGAAACTTACATTCTCGGGGAATGGGGCTGGGGAGTTAGTGTTTCATGGGGACAGAGTTTTGGTTTGGGAAGATGAGAAAGTTCTGGAGATGGATGGTGGGGATGGTTACACATTGTGAATGGAATTAATGCCACTGAACTTTACATTTAAAAATGATTAGAATGGCAAACTTTATGTTATGCGTATATATTAATATATATAACCACCATTAACGATAAACCAGACGACAACCAACGATTAATATATATAACCACCATTAACGATAAACCAGACGACAAGCCACGCAGCGGCTCGGTGGCGGGCTGCAGCACCACGGACAGCTCCCAGCGCGCTCTCAGGGAGGAAGAGCTACTGCTTTACAAATGTCCTTCTGTTCCAAATGCTTTTCTCCCCTTTCTTCATCCATCCAACTCCTACTCACTCCTCAGCGCCCAACCCACACGGTCACCACCCCTGCCCCACTCTGAGAAATCTCCCCATGTGCCCCCCAAGCCACTCTGCTCCAAAGATGTCAGCCCAGACTCCCTTGCCCATCTCCTTCTCCGAGAGGGAGTTCTACGAAAGCAAAAAGTCTTCCTCACGTTTCGGACCCCAGTGCCCAGTACTAGAACAAACCTGGATTTCCCGCTCAGTGTCTCTTCCCAGAGCGCCACGTCCTCCAGCCAAGAGGTGCAAAGTCCAGATCTTGTGCTGGAGTCTCTGGGCTCTCCTTCTCTGCTGTGGGGCGGTTGCCTTTATGCCTTTGGCTTGGAGGGGGACCGATCCTGATGCAGTGAGTGGGGTAGCCACGTGAATAGAGTGTTGTCTGAGACCCACAAGGGGAGCCAGCGTCCGTGCATTCTACCTGCATTTCCCGAACATCTCCTTTGTGACGCGTGCTACTGCCTTGGCACATTACAGTGTACAAAACCAACCAAGTCTCTTTTGAAATTTCTATTCCAATGGGGGGTGTGTGTGTGTGTCCTAGAATAAACAAAGAAACAAGTAAATAATCTCAAATAGTGGTAAGTGTTATGAAAAAAGACTCATCAGGTTCCTCAATACCGTAAACACAGAATTAGTGTATGACGCAGCATTGCCACTCCCAGGTATATACCCCAAAGAACTGAAAACAGGGATTCAAATAAAACCATGTACACCCATGTTCACAGCAGCACTATTCACAACAGCCACAATGTAGAAACATTTTTTGTTTATCCACTGGTGAATGAATAAACAAAAAGTGGCACATGCATACAATGATATATATGATTCAGCCATAAAAATGAATGAAGCACTGACACACATCACAATGTGGATGATCCTTGAAAAATGATGCTCAGTGAGAGAAGCTAGACACAAAAGATGGCATAGTAGATTATTCCATTTATATGAAATATCCAGAACAGGCAAATCCACAGAGACAGAAAGTGGATTAGTGGTTGCCAGGGGCTGGGAAGGGAGACGTAAGAGACTGCTTAATGGGTACGGGTTTCCATTTGGGGTGATGAAAAAGTTCTGGAACTAGACAGTGCTGATGGTGGTACAACACTGAACATACTTAATGTCACTGAACTATACACTTTCAAATGGTTAAAATGGTAAACTTTACATTATGTGTATTTTACCACAGGAAAAAAGAAAAAAAATTTTTTAAAAACTGAAAAACAAATCAGACTAGATAATGGGATGGAAGATGATGGAGTGAGAGGCAAGGTAGGCGGTGAGATTAGGAAAGGCCTCTTTGAGGAGATTACTTCTGAGCTGACACCTGAATAATGCAAACATCTGGGGGAAGAGCATACCTGGCAGAGGGAGCAGCTTGTGCAAAGGCCCTGTGGTGGGAATGAGCCTGATGTGTTCACAGAACAGGCGAAAACCATCACAGTGATTAAGAGGGGCAGGAGGTAACAACAGACATCCATTCCTACTTAGGATCATGTATTGATATTAGTTTCCTGCCATAACAAAGTACCACGAACTAGGTGGCTCAAAACAATAGCTTTTTTTTTTTTTTCTCTCTCACAGTTTTGGAGGCCAGAAGTCTGAAATCAAGGTATTGGCAGGGTTGGCTTCTCCTGGGGGCTGTGAGGGAGAATCCATTTGGTGCCTCTCCAGCTTCCGGTGGTCACTGGCAACCCTCCATATTCCTTGGCTTGTCGATGCATCATCCTGACCTCACATGATGTGCCCCCCCCTTCTCTTCTCTTATGAAGTCACTTGTCATGGGATTTAGAGCACATCTTAAATCCAGGATGATCTCATCTGGAGATCCTTAACTTAATTCCATCTGCAAAGACCCTTTTTTCCAAATAAGGTCACATTCACAAGTTCCAGGGGTTAGGACATGGACATATCTTTGGTGGGGGGGGCACCATTCAACCTGCTACCAGTCTAAAAATAAAAACAGCAACAGCAAGAAACACGCATAGAACTTTTCTCATGCTGCGGCACTGTGCCAAGCACCCTCCCTGCATCACTTCATTAAATGCCGAAAGGCCAGTACCCTAATGTTTCCATTTCACAGATGAGGAAACTGAGGTCCAGGAAGTGTGATCACTTACCCAACCAAGTCCCCAGCCAGTGTCCCGATCCACTTATGGTTTGATTTCAGAGGGTGCACTCTTAACTCTATACCATTCTATGGTCTTCCAGGGCGGGGCTGACGCACGCACACCTGCAGGGGGCGCCTTTCCCTCGGAGGCCCCGAGCGAATGTGTCTGAGAAGGTTCTGTCTCCCCAGCACCCAGCCCGATCTTCGGCCCATGGCTCATCGTAAGTGGTCGGCTGAGGGACCCATGAAATGGGTCCATGAGGATATTATTTCCTCCCTCCCTCTTAATCTAAGGAATGAGGCCATCGCTGCCACTTATTTATTTGTTCCTTGTTTTGTTTTTAAATCTGTGATGCGCCATCAGGAAATCATTTCCGCTTCTGCCCCTGGTGAGGCTCTTGGAAATGCTCCCCTCTCAGCCAATGGAGAGCACCGATTCTGGCAGGGGGCTGTGCTTTTTGGTCAGCCCTGCCCCCATCCACCCACCCTGCACACAAAAGCAGCATAATTAACTGTCTTAAGGAAGCCGAGCCTCCGCCAGCTGCGAGCTGGCAAGAAGAAAATACCTCGGAGGCACGAGGACCAGGGACGCAGCCGCAGCCGAGCGAGGGGGAGCCGACCGCTGACTGCAAGCTGTTCCCCACCCGTGGACAAAAGCGCCCATCCGCGCCCGTCGCATTGCCCTGGGTGACCTTCCTTGGATGCGGAGTCCGCGCCAGAGTGCATCTTCCTCGGATGCTCTGAAGGCGAGGCATGCCCGGCTGCATCCGCCCAAGGCTCTTCTTTGTTTGCGCGTAACCCGGAGAGGCCGCGGAGGTAGCCGGGACTCACGCGGAGGTGAATCCACTTTCTTTCTCCCCGCCCTGCCGAGGAAGATTGTCCGCAGGTATCCGCTGCTACAAACCCCCTTCTGGCAGATGGGGCGGGTGGGAGCAGAGAACCAGGGTCTTGTGATTCTTGGGATGCTACCAGCTCCATTTTACCCCACGCGGAGAAAAGCATCCGCCCCACACACACCCCCACAGTTCACCTCCCATGCCCACCATTCACCTGGATGGCAGAGGATTGCACCATTTCCGGGACGTGCTTAGAGATTAGGCAGCTCAAACCCTCAGCTCCTCTCTGGGACGCCTCCTGAGAGACCGAAATGTACACGTCCCACCTCTGTGCATTTCCTATTTATAACGCCGTGAGCGGATTTGGAAAAGGATTTGATAGATGTGTACGTAAAAGCTTGCCTGTGGGGTGGGGAGGAAGGGAAACGGTTGAAGACAGAGATTCCTCCTCCTCTGCCTGAACTTGTATGTGATGTGCTGATAATTCAGCACCACAGCGGGAAGGCACGCTTCTCAGCTCCCCCTCGCTGCCTTATTTGCCGTCCTCGAACGTGAAGTCGGGATCAGGGGGCGGGAGCGTCCGGGGCCCTCCGGTCACCCACCCACACCCCTCATTTAGAGGATCGTTGGGCCAACGTGTGTGTCCCCAGTCTCAGCTGTGGGTGGGGTGGAGGTGGGTGGTCCTTTCTGGGGGTTGAGGTCACACCCAGCTCAGGATAAGGAAAACAGACGCAAAGACCACTCCCTTCAGAAAGGAAATGAATTTCCATTGATGGGAACTTTCGCTTGCAGTAAGTTCCTGGGCAGTTGCTGCCCACAGCATCAGGAAGACATCTCTCTCTCTCTCTTTTCCGTACTGCGTCTTACTGTCCCTCCTCCATGAATGAATGACGACATTCAGGGCAGTGACAAGAATGGAGTGAGAAACTCTCACTGAAGTGGGGGAGGGTCGAATTTCAAACATCCCGTCCCCCCTGCCTGGCCCTCACCTGTCTCCGGCTCCCTCTGAGCCCCAATCCCAAATGCAGACCCTCCATCCACAGGGGCTTAGGTCCAACGAGGGGCTCTGGAAGACACACCCAAACTAAGAGCCACCCATCGGCTCTAGAGGGGCAGCCGCAGTGAGTGGGGAGGGGGGAGGGGCTGGAGGCGGGACCTTAGGTGCTGGCAAGTGAGGTTGACAACTTCTCAATCTCAGATCTATGGACATTTGGGGCCGGATCATTCTTGGTCATGGGGTACCATCTGGGGCACTGTAGGGCACTGAGCAGCATCCCTGGTCTCCACCCACTTGATGTCAGTAGCACACCGCCCCCCCCCCCCCCCCCCCCCCCACTTGTGACAACCCAAAATGCCTCCAAACATTGCCAGATGTCTGGTGGGGGAAGGCAGAATCACTGCCCGTTGAGAACCACTGGTTTAAAAGCTCAGAACCTGCACTATTAGTTGAGTCATAAGATCCTGGGGGATCCTTTCTAGACCAATTCTTTCATTCACAGGCAGGGAAACTGAGACAGCGGAAGTCTGCCATGCCCCAGGATAGACCCAAATTCAGTCCCACTCGGCAGTTCTCACCACACTCCCAGACAGCCCAGCACTCAAGCCCCACCTAGAGTGCTGCCTCCACCCCATCCTTGCCCCCAGCTGGTTCCTGGCATTTTGTGGTTGGTACAAATGATGATCCTGATTTCCAGCCCCAGGCACTTTCCCCACTTCCTTTTTCAGTCCTAGGGTCAGTTGTCAGGACTTGCTTCTTCGTTGGGGGAGGGGAGGGGACAGAGGGGCAGGACAGGTGGGCTGCAGCAGATAGAGGTGGGTTGGCGTTAACCAGGTCTTGTCTGAATGTCAATCCCAGCAAGGAAGCTTAATTATATCAGTCATTAACACTAAATGACTAAACGTCATTTAGTGTAAATGACTAAATGTCATTTAGTGTAAATGACTTTAATTGGATTTATTGCTTCCTAGTTGAAGTCCAAGGTAAGGGAGGGATGGTGAACCTTGCAGAGGATGGATTTCAGAGCTTCAAAGGGGGGGGGTGCTTTTAGCTGGAGGCTCAGCCCCTCCTTTGGTTTCAAACTCCAGACCCACATGGGTGTTCAGCTTTCTATGCCTCTGTTTTCTCACTGGTGAAATGGAGAAGCCTCATGGGGCTGGGCAATGATTCAATAAGACAATGGACACAGGAGCTCTTTGCAGATCCATCTCTGAAGTTCTGTGTGTGAGCGGGGAATTGTCATTATGATTGTCCAGTAAAACCTCCATCCACTGCCCTCCTTCAGGATTCATCCTTGCTTCAAGTCGGTCCTTTCTTCCCAACTCCCATGGGGACCACTGAAGCCACACTCCGGATGGAAAACGTGGACGTGAAGGAAGAATGGCAGGACGAAACTCTGCCCAGGTACAGCTCCCTAGGTGTGCGTGTCAGACGTGGAAGGAGTGGGCCCGACGCTGCTCCCAGGTGTGAGGCAGAGGCACCCCAGTTGACTGGGCCAAGAGCATAATTGATATTTGCTGAATTATTTAAGATTGATTTCCCACCTCCCTACCCCGCCCATCCCTGCCCAAAGTGCCAAAATAGCTCCCATTCCCACACTATCATAAGAATTCTAAACATTCTTCTAAAACCATCTCATGGGCGGTTACAATATTCTTACCTGGGTTCCCATGAATTCAGGTAACAACGTGTTTTTACCTACAGCAGCCAGAGGGACCCTGTCATACCCCTTAAAAGCCCTGGGGCAGGGACTTCTCTGGCAGTTCAGTGGTTAAGACTCTGTCTTCCTAATGCAGGGGACCCGGGTTCTATTCCTGTTCAGGGAACTAGATCCCTCATGCCACAGCTAAAGATCCCGCACGTGAATGAAGATCCCGCGTGCTGCAACTAGGACCCGGCGCAGCCAAAACAAAACAAAAGGCACGGGGGCTTCCCTGGTGGCGCAGTGGTTGAGAGTCTGCCTGCCAGTGCAGGGGACGTGGGTTCGTGCCCTGGTCCGGGAAGATGCCGCGGAGCGGCTGGACCTGTGGGCCATGGCCGCTGAGCCTGCGCGTCCGGACCCTGTGCTCCAAAACGGGGGAGGCCAAAAAAGGGAGGGGCCCACAAAATGAAAAAAAAAAAAAAAAAAAAAGGCACGGAAACAGATTCTCCCCCAGAGCCTCCAGGAGGAACCAGCCCTGCCGGTGAAACTGATTTCAGACTTACTTCTTTTCTAGATTCGTAAGAAAATACATACGTGTCGTGTTGTTGTTGTTTTTATTTTTTATTTATTTATTTTTGGCTGCGTTGGGTCCTCGTTGCTGTGCACAGACTTTCTCTGGTTGCGGCGAGCCGGGACTGCTCTTCGTTGTGGTGTGCGGGCTTCTCATCGCGGTGGCTTCTCTTGTTGCAGAGCATGGGCTCTAGGCGCCCGGGCTTCATACGATTGAATATGCTGAGTATTTCACATACTTGTTTACAGTCTGTTCCCCACCATGGAACCCACGAGAGCAGGGGCCTTTGGTTTGATCACAGGTATACGGCTGATGCTCAGTGGATATTGGGTGAATGGATGACGGTCATTGGTACGAATTCAAAATTGTAGGAAGCAAGCTGTGCGTGCCCACTGCTGAGATACTTATCTCTCTGGATTCTCCTCTGGCGAGGCGTTGGGTAAGAGAAAATATAGTCAGCACAGGCTCCCCTTAATTCGTCGGCTGGATGCAACTGCTCATCTCCCTCCCACTTTTTTTTTTTTTTTTTTGGCCAGCTTGCAGGATCTTAGGATCTTAGTTCCCCAACCAGGGATCGAACCCGTACCCATGGCAGTGAAAGTGCAGAGTCCTAACCACTGGATCGCCAGGGAATTCCCTCTCCCTCCCACTTTAATGCAAGGAGTTTACGCACAGGAGATGATGCCCAAGAGTTAGTTGCATAACCATCCAGGAAGGAAGAGTCAAAGGGACTGGGCATATTCACCCTGGAAAGGAGAATTTGGAAAGGATCTCAGTTGGTGAGGGTGCTCAGGGCAGAACAAGGGTGATGGACAGGCATGAAAGGGATGCAGGTTTGAGTCTAAAGTGGACTCTTTGGACTCAAATGATCCAATCTGTGCATGCTTTGTACGGCCAGCCGGCCCATTCAAAAGCAAAATGGGCTGATGGGGGAGGTCTGGAGCTTCCTGTCCACCTGTCCCAGGAGAAGCTGTGATGTCAAGGGCATCACCCCCTCATTTGAGAATCTTTAGTCCTCTCTCCAGTCTAGTCATTTTCAGTGTCAGTGTTTCACGCACATCCTCATGATTCTTAAAGCGATAGATGGGGACTTCCCTGGTGGTGCGGTGGTTAAGAATCCGCCTGCCAATGCCAAGGACACAAGTTCGATCCCTGGTCCGGGAAGATCCCACATGCCGTGGAGCAACTAGTGCCACAACTACTGAGCCAGTGCTCTAGAGCCCACGAGCTCCAACTACTGAGCCCACGTACTGCAACCACTGAAGCCCATGTGCCTAGAGCCCATGCTCCACAACAAGAGAAGCCACCGCAATGAGAAGCCCGTGCATCGCAACAAAGAGTAGCCCCCGCTGGCCACAACTAGAGAAAGCCCGCGCGCAGCAACGCAGCCAAAAATAAATAAAATTTAAAAATAAAAAATAAAGTGATAGATCCCCACCTCAGAATAGCCGAGAATCTCTTGTCTGCACAGTACCGTTGTCTTCAGGAAGACAAGTATTTCGGGAAAGAGACGGTGACTTCATTGGAGCCGACCTCCTGTTCTTTCACTGTTAAAATGTTCTTCGTTCTACATTCCCTCTTATAAGTATTTCTCTTTAACTCAGTACAAGGAGTGCTGATGCCTGGACTTGTAGAAAGGGGTCTGATGACACCTGGACCTGGCAATTTGGGCGAATTAAGGACTGTTTTTATCAGGGGCTCCTGATATGGCTAGGAATGCTCCAGAATGGACAAGAGCCACCTTGGGGAGCTGTCCCTCGTTCCCAGCATGGGAGATCTGTTTCCTCCCATGGAAAAGGTGGAAACAGATGGGATGATCTCTGTGGGTTCCTTCCAGCATCAAACACCCGGGGTTTGGAGGCATCTCCAACCAGTGTCAGCATCATTTACCCTGTGGTCCCGTGAACCCTGGCCCCTGTCCGAGACCAAAGCGTCCCTCGGTCTGGACTTTGAGAACCTTCTGATTCAACCCTGCCTGCCCGGGTGGCAAACCCCAACCCTTCCTGGACATAAAAAAAATTCTCTGATGACAGCACAGGACTCACCTTGCTCACTCTAATTTTATTTCAAGCAACACAGCGGAACCAAGAGGGTACGAGCTGTGGAACCGGACAGCCGTGGGTTCAGATTCCAATTCTCCAGTGGGCTCGCTTGCCCACCTTGGGCAGCTCTTCGAGCATCTTTGTGCCTCAGTTTTCCTATCTGTAAAATAGGGACAATCATTCCTGGCTCACGAAGTTGTCGCGAGAAGTCGATGAGGTATGAGTTGCGAGGCAGCTGAGCCAGGCTGTACTAGATGCAGAGGGCTGCCCAAGGGACTTGCTGCCCTCAGCCTCATTCTTATCAGCCTGTACCTTGTTCACTCTGGTTCCTTTTTCCCATTCCCCCATAAAAGAGACCCTCCTCTCCCAAGCCTTGTTGAGACAAAGTGGAGCTGACTGCAGCTGCAAATGTGAATTTCAAGTGAGTTTCCCCAGCTGCAGAGGGTTCCTCTCCCTTTTCAGTAGTTCAGTGTTTGCAGGATAGTGGCCTGGCTGTGCAGCCCTGGGGTCAGGGACATGCCTTTGTCAAGGCTGTGTCCTCCTCGTTCTGGGAGAAATGAGTACAGCTTCTTATACAGCGTCCAGCTGCAGCTCAACATAAGCACCTCTGTCTGATGCCAGACAACCCACAATTCTATTCCTTCGAGATCAGTGATCCCTTCCTGGGTGGGATCCTCGAGCTGCCCCGGGTGTGTCCGGGTGCTCGTCCTGTGCCCACAGCCCCCTCCTGCTGCCATTGCCTTGCGGCGTCTTCCTGCACCTCCTGCTCTTCTGCAGGTACCTGTGGACCCTGGCTGAGAGAGGGCAGCCTGGAGACGATCCATCTACCTGCCTTGCTTCCACATTCATTCATTCTAGTGATATGCACCGACTGTATGCCAGGCCCTGGGTGAGATGCTGGGGACACGTGGAGAACAGGAGAGCCGCCCTTGTGGGGTGTTCACAGTCTGGCGCAGAGACAGGCGGTCCCTTATAACCTCACAGACCAATGAAAAATTGCAGCTGGGTTCTTGGCACCTGGAGAGCGCCAGGTGGGGTCTGACTGGGTTGGGGACATTGGGGGAGGCGCTGACCCTGAGCTCTGAAGGATGAAGAGGTATGAACAGGGGAAAGAGGCTGGGGGTAGGGGTCAAGCATTCCAAGCAGAGAGAGCAGCACGTGCAAAGGCCCTGAAGCCAGCGGAAGCAGATTGAGGGACTGAAGAAAGGTTGGGTGGGGAAACTGAGGACCAGGGTGGGAAAGGGCTTGGCCCGGGTCTCACAGCTAAGGAGAGGCAGGTACAGGGTTAGATGTCTGAATGGTGTCTCAGCCTGCTCTGCCTTCTATAACCAAGTGGTCGTGGGTTTTGCTTGTAACTTTTTATTCTTTTTTTTCCTTTTTTTTTTTAATTGGAGTGTAGGTGATTTAGAATGTTGTGTTAGTTTCTACTGTACAGCAAAGTGAGTCAGTTATACAGATACATATATCCACTCTTTTTTATTTATTTTATTTTTGGCTGCATTGGGTCTTCGTTGCAGTGCATGGGCTTCTCATTGCCGGTGGCTTCTCTTGTTGCGGAGCACGGGCTCTAGGCGCACGGGCTTCAATAGTTGCGGCACGGGGGCTCAGTAGTTGTGGCACACGGGCTTAGTTGCTCCGTGGCATGTGGGATCTTCCCGGACCAGGGATGGAACCCGTGTCCCCTGCATTGGCAGGAGGATTCTTAACCATTGTGCCACCAGGGAAATCCCTTCCACTCTTTTTTAGATTCTGTTCCCATATAGATCATTAAAGAGTATTGAATAGCGTTCCCTATGCTACACAGTACGTTCTTATTATTTATCTATTTTATATATAGTAGTGTGTATGTGTCCATCCCAATCTCTCAATTTTTTTTTTTTTTTTCGGTACGCGGGCCTCTCACTGTTGTGGCCTCTCCCGTTGCGGAGCACAGGTTCCGGACGTGCAGGCTCAGCGGCCATGGCTCACGGGCCCAGCCGCTCCGCGGCATGTGGGATCTTCCCAGACCGGGGCACGAACCCATGTCCCCTGCATCGGCTGGCGGACTCTCAACCACTGCGCCACCAGGGAAGCCCCCAATCTCTCAATTTATCCCTCCCCCTGGAACTTTTTATTCTGACATAGTCCCAAGCTTAGAAAAAAAAACTATAAGAGTGGTATAAGGAATATCTGTAAACTCTTACCCAGATTTGCTGATTGTTAAGATTTTACTTCCTTTGCTTTATCATTCTCTCCCCCAACCCCGGTCTTTCTCTTCTGCCCTGTCTCTCCCTGTGTCTGTCTGTCTCTCTATCTATGCTCAATCTGTTTGTATCTGCCCACCCCTGCACAGGGCAGGCCAGGCAATGTCCCTTCCCCAGCCCAACACACGCACAGAGGTGATTTCCTGTTGCCCAGCTCAGCAGTCCCTCATGCAGGAGCCGTGGGTTTAGGCCAGGAAGTGATGGCAGGCTCTGAGCAGCCTTAGCATCTTCTGCCTTCCTCAACTCCGCCATTCTCTTTCCTGTGCTCCAGCGATGCCGGGCTATCATAGCAGGATACCACACCCTGGGCAGCTTCAACAGCAGACATTTATTCTCTCACAGCTCCAGAAGCTGGATGTCTGAGATCGAGGTGCCAGCAGGGTTGGCTTCTGGTGAGGGCTCTCTTCCTGGCCTTCTCACTGCATCCTCACGTGGTCTTTCCTCTGTGCTTGCATGTGCTGGGGGAGCTTTCTCGTGGCTCTCCCTCTTCTCGTAAGGTCACAGTCCTAGGGGATCAGGGCCCCAACCTTTTGTTTTTTTGGCCATGCTGCACGTGTACACAAAATGGGCATGTAAGTTGTCTTCAGTCTCAATCTGAAAAAAAGATGCCTTTTTAAAACCTTCTGACTTAATCTGAAGCTTGCTTTTTTTTCTTTTTTAAATGGAGGTGAAATTTACATAACATAAAAATAACCATTTTATTTTATTTTATTCTGTGCCACGAGCATGTGGGATCTTAGTTTCCCAACCAAGAGGTGATGGTGCTGGGGGAGACCAGAGCAAGATGAATGGACAGAGGTGTTGGAAATTGCAGAGAAGGAAAAGGGGCAGATTTATCTGAGTATCTGAAACCACCAACGTTGCCAATGGATAATTCTTGAATGCCTTTCAGCAGTTCCCTCTCTGGTTCTCCCGACTTAGCTCTGCAGGAGTCCTGTGATAAGCCCCAGTGCTGCTGGCCCTGCATTGAGCCCTCGAAAAGCCTACTTATGCCCAGAAAGAGTTTTTGCTGTTACCCTGCACCAGAGGTGGCCGCCGTCAACAGAAACAGAGGCTGGAAAGCCCTGGGTGGGAGACTGAGGCAGCACAGCCGATCTTAATGCCGTCAAAGCCCTGGGGCACCAGTTGGGAAGCAGGAGGCATGTTCAAAGGTCCTGAGGCCCACAGTTTATTCCCAATTCCCTTCTTTCACACTGTGAGTAACATTAAGCCAGACGCTAGGATCTGAGAGTGGAATTCGGTCCAGGAGCCACCTCTGAAGCCAGAACTATTGCAATAACAGCTGATTCCGGGTGACAGGTGTTTCTAGATTTTGGCCTTTCCCCGCCACTTACATAATGTGCCCTCACTTGCTCCTTCCTTCAAAACCCTTGCTGAGGGCTGCTTCTCCCAGGTCCAGGCACGTGACTCACCAAAGCAAGAGAGGAAGAGGCACTTCCTCCCCTTCAAGGGCTCACAGTTGGCCCAGGAAACAAGCAATTAGCACACAGTACCACAGATTCAGTGCTAAAGGAGGCTTCTGAGGCAGGATGCAGGAGTGGGGTGGATGTCAGATTCAGATGGGGCCTCCTGGAGGACGCTGACCTAGCCTGAGAGGCTGAGCAAGTTCACCAGTCAAAGAAAGCAGGAAGTGGCCCTCTAGGCAGAGGGGGTGGGATGTGCAAAGGCACTGGGGCAGAGAGGACCTTGGCATGGTAGGGGATGCGGTAGGAGAGAAATTTGGATTTCACGCTGAGAGGGCGTGTGAGTTTCCCGGAGCTGCCATAACAAAGTACCAAGAACTTGCTTAAAACATAAGAAATGTTTCCTCTCACAGTTCTGGAGGCTAAAAATCCAAAATCAAGGTGTCAGCAGGGCCATACTCCCTATGACGGCTCTAGGAAAGGATGCTTCCAGCCTCCTCCAGCTTCAGATGGTGGCCGGCAATCCTCGGCCTGCCTTGGCTTGTAGATGCATCACTCCAATCTCTGCCCTCCTCCATCTTTTTATTTTTTAAGCTTGTGTTTTTTTATTTTTACTTTTTAAAATTTTTATTGGAGCACAGTTGATTTACAATGTGTGTTAGTTTCAGGTGTACAGCAGAGTGAATCTGTTATACATATACATATATCCACTCTTTTTCTTTTTTTTGGCTGCGTTGGGTCTTCATTGCTGCATTCAGGCTTTCTCTAGTTGCAGCAAGTGGGGGCTACTCTCCATTGCAGTGCGCGGGCTTCTCATTGCGGTGGCTTCTCGTGTTGTGGAACACGGCTCTAGGCATGCGGACTTCAGTTTTTGCAGCACACAGGCTCAGTAGTTGCGGTGCATGAGCTCAGTAGTTGTGGCTCGCGGGCTCTAGAGCGCAGGCTCAGTAGTTGTGATGCATGGGCTTAGTTGCTCTGTGGCATGTGGGCTTCCCAGACCAGGGCTCGAGCCTGTGTCCCCTGCATTGGCAGGCGGATTCTTAACCTCTGCACCACCAGGGAGGTCCTGCATTCTTTTTTAGATTCTTTTCCCATACAGGCCATTAAAGAGTATTCAGTAGAGTTCCCTGTGCTGTATAGTAGGTCCTTATTAGCTATCTCTTCTGTATATAGTAGTATGTATATGTCAATCCCAGTCTCCCAGTTTATCCCTCCCCCCGACCCCCTGGTAACCATAAGTTTATTTTCTACATCTGTAACTCTATTTCTGTTTTGTAAATAAGTTCATTTGTACGCTTTTTGTAGATTCCACATATAAGCGATATCATGTGTTTGTCTTTCTCTGCCTGACTTACTTCCCTCAGTATGACAATCTCTAGGTCCATCCATGTTGCTGCTAATGGCATTATTTTGTTCTTTTTTGTGGCTGAGTAGTATTCCATTACATATATGAGATTTATTTATTTATCCATCCATCCCTCTGTTGATGGACATTTAGGTTGCTTCCATGTCCT